AGTGAATGTAGCTACAAGGTTGGAGTATCTCATAAGCAGGCAACTCAGTATATCTCAGGATGCATTTAGGGCGTTTTCACACTTCAATATCTGAACTGGGCTCAGACTGCTGAGTCGTGGTTTTCTGTGCATATGTGAACACGCCAAACAAACTCACACCCCTCTAAATGTCTCTGAAAACGAACCGAACTCCAGCCTGTCGAGGTGGCTTCGGTTCGGTTTGTTTGTAGTTCGTTTTGTGGTTCGATTTTGCTTGGCTTTATGGTGAAGACTTCAAGGCTTACCGCACACACACAGCCACAGTCTTCCATTACTTCAGTGGGTAAAAACAGACCAAGGACCATTTATAAAGTTCTACTCAGGATAAAGCCTGGCTGTGATATGCGACAAGACAGCAGCCCTGACATATTTAAGTCATGAGTTTTAATCTGCTTTCACACTGAACGCAGAATGAATGAAAATTCACCACTGCTCTTTCAAATAGTCGGCTTTCTTGCAGACATGGATTTTCGCCGTGTGGAGCTCAGTGAGGAGCACAGGGTTATTTTTCCAATTTTGCGCGATGCACTTCAGCCAATCTTTTTAGTGTGGCCAATAGGAGAGCAGCAGGCGGATCTGGTGATTCCTGTCGATACCCGAAAGGTTAGATTTATCAGAGATTTATTGCGAGCACTGCGCACACCATGAGTGCTGTGAAGGGGGTCTGAGTTCTAACCCTCTAAACCTTTCAGGTTCACTTTAACAGAACTCAGTGTGGTTCATTTAAAAAGAACTATATGCGAAAACACTCTTATTTTTGTAGTTCGAAACTGTGTTGCACCGGTTTATGCTTAAAATCTTCACAAAGTCCTTCATAACACTAATTAGTTTCAAAGTATTCCTTCACTAAATTTGTTGCACTACAAATTCTGAAGTCAAGTCTTAGCTGGTAACAACTAACTAATGTGTATGTCACTTTAACACGACAATGTTGTGTTCAGAACCATCTGTAAACATGGAAATGCCACTGCAGGTGACTTTTTTCCAGCAAAAAATATGCAGTATAGAAGAGAATTATGAGTGCAGGTTTACAATTTGATACTTTGATACTGAAAACTGAATACTTGTTTGTTTGTTTATTCTTTAATAGTTCCTAGCGACAACCAAATATGCAGCTTTTTAAAACAACAGTTTCTGGCCAGCTGACACGAGCAGCATCAGTTCAACATTTCATCTGCTGGGTCTCAGAACAGGAGCTGTGGATGTGAGCTTGGAGTCAAAATCAGGGTCATGATTAGAGATGTAAGTAAAATCAGCTTTTATTGTTTTTAGCTTAGTGTCTTAACCAGAAAGGTAATGTCATGTTTTTGGTCTTCTTTATGTTCTCTTTGGTTTCCCCAACACTTAGACCTGCTCAGGGGTTTACTAACTACTGAGCACAACATACAAACCAGTTTGTGTGGAGCAGTCTTTCTTTAATTTAGGAATGCGTAAGCCTGAACTTAGTAAGCACTTGCATTATAACCAGCCTACATTTGAACTTATGTACAGCTGATGTAACTGGCTCTGGTTCCTTTTGTGCAGGCCAAAGTGGGACATTATATACAGTTGTACATAAAAGTTTGGGCGCCACAATGAAATTTCATGTTGTTTTGATTTTCTAAGTGAAAATAAGTAAACACATCCTGCACAGAAGGGGTGCAAAATCATGGTCCTGGAGGTCTACCACCCTGGAGATTTCAGATGCAACACACCAGGCTTTAATATTCAGATGCCCCTGAAGGCCTTGATTACCCGGATCAGGTGTGTTAGTTTAGGGTTGGAGCTAAACTCTGGAGGGTGGTGGATCTACAAGACCAGGTTTGGGCACCTCTGCTCTACAGAGAACACATGTCTGCATGTTTTAATGCACAATTACTGTTCCTGTTACACAGTAAGCGAATTTGCTGAATTTAAAGAGCTCATCTTAGAAAAATGTATTTCCCTTACTTTTTAGACATAAAGGAGTTTGAAGTAATATGTAGACTATGTTTAAATTTCAAAACATACCATTCACTACCCACTCCATACAGGCCACATATAGAAACTCCAAAAAAACAGCTTGTTTTGAATTAATTGTTTCTGTGATGTCACGAGAATCAAATCATTTACTTATTTTTATTTACTCAGCCAAAGGATAAAGAGAAGTTGGAAAATGGTTATGTACAAATTAATTATGACCATGTTTGGTACATTGCACCCACACAAATAAAATGTTAAAAATAAAATGCAAGAAAAGTGTTGGACATGTGCCTTTCAAAGCTGCACTCTGTATGCTTTGGGGATTTGGACCTCTCTGGTGGAAATGTGGAACTGCAAGCAACATGCAGAAGAATGTTTCGAAGCATGGTTTGTGCTTCGGCCCCCTTCCCCGAGCAGATTAATCTGATTTTTTACGAGCCCGTTTAAGGAGTTTTCAAAGAAAACTCAGTCAAAACCTGGAGAAGGATGCGTCTTCTAAGGATGTGAGTGAATTATTTATTATTGTTATCGTATCATTTGAAGATCATTTGAGGCCTAAACATCAAGCCAGACCTTCTTTTTGAGGCTGTGCGTGTGACGTTAATACATAAAGACATACAACGTGGTGTGAAAAACTCCAGACCCGACGCCTCTGACTTTTAAAGGATTATTTCAGGCTTTACAGGGCGATTCGCAGCAGCACACACACACCATATTTTAGCCTGTTTTATTCTCCTCACTCAGTAACGACATTTCCTTCAGTTTTGACAAGAAAATCTTTGTACTGTTTTATTTTTTCCAGATATGTTATATTCAGCAAATAAATGGAAATTGTGTTCTAAATATTTGCAGAAAACACCACATTTAAGTTTATACCTGGTAGAGAGTGCGGGAGTATTCAAACTGTATTGTTGCACTTTAGTTGCATACACACTTTTGTAAATATGTGAAGTCATATGGATGAAAAGTCAATAAAACTGCTCTTCTAATGCAATTTTTAAGTTGTGAAAGTGAAATAAACCTGCAGTCTCTTGCAGCAAGCTCCTTTACTGACACTAATGCAGTGTCAGCAATATTTTGATTCTGAGATATTGAAAAAGCTACGTAATAACAGCACAAAAAAACAATTTAAACATACATTTAAACAAGAAATTCAAAATTTTACATGACGTTAAAGAAGTTTGCATTAATTATGAAATACAATAGTGGTGAATGAGCTGTGATGTGACACAGTGGACCTGATATAAAGAACCGAATGCTGACCTTTAAAAAGAGGCCAACGGGAGTTGTGGCCAAATCTAAAGCCTAGAGCTAAAGATGACAAACCACAGGACTGCATGAATAAAGGTCTCATTTGTTAGTTTCGTTTTTTCTATTGCAGCTTAACTGCAGATTGTAAAAGATCTACATCTATGAAATTATGGAATCTGTGATTTAAACAAACGGAAAGCATTTCTTGCATGGATATTTTAGCAAACTGTTATAAAATTTATTCAGAATATTTTCTGAATAAAATTTAGACTGCTTTTTTTTTTCAAAACAAAACTTACATTGAGCAAACAATGAGCATAATTTTCTTAACTCAGCCCAAATAACCACAGACACCTTTTAATATACACTACCAGACCAAATTTTAAAAACACGTTAGTATGCATGTTTTTCATAATCTTAAAGACCTTTTTAACTGCCAGCTTATGCTTAAATGCTATGTACATATATATGCTATATACAGTAATATGGTCAAATAACGTGTTGTTGATTTTTTAAGTGAAAATACATTCTCTACAGAGAGTACACTTAAGCACATTTTAATGCACAATTACTGTTTATTTGCTGTTAATATAACATATGGGAAAAAAAAAAACATAAAGTGTTGCCTGTGCAAACATTATTAAATATTTTATGTTTTACTTTTTAGCAAATAAATATAGATTGTGCACTAAATTCAGAGCAAACTGGCATATTTAAATTTGTTCCCTGCACAGAAAATCAACAAAACATTTAATCTGACTGGTGGTGTTCAAACTTTTGCATACAATTAATGAATCGTTTAAGACATGTTTATGCATGAATTTATTTCCAAAAATGTATCTCATTCAAGCCTGTTGGAAAAGGCAAAAACGGACCACTATTAAGTATCTAAAACAGAGGACAACATTTGTTTTGGTCACTGCATAATTCTATGTGTTATTTTATAGTTATCTCCACTTATATTGTAAAATGAGTGAAGTAGCAAGCCAAAAATTTGGGAAAAACCCTTCTGTGAGTAAGTATGTCTACATTTCTGACTGCTATTGTAACTATAGATTCACCTCTAGATTTTTTTCGATTAAGGTGTTTGACATCTGTCTCAGTAATAGTTAAGTAATAGTAACTGATTAATAGTTCAGTAAACCAATACAGACATAATAGAGCTCAGACTTTTTCAGCTTTAATCAAACCTCAAACCAAAGTTTCAGTTCAAAAATCACCATCCAGAATTCACTCTGAGCAAACTGTTACCAGAATCAGTGAGTATACTTTAGACTTCACTCTTACACAGACCATCTAGATGAGACAGGAAACTGCACACATCCTTGAGCCTCGGCTCAAACCGCTACAGCTAAATAAATGAGAGCTGCAGGCTTGAATGTACAATAAAAACGTTCATATTTCACTGGCATGCATGATGATTGTAATGCTGACATTCACAAATGTGCATCACTATAAAAACAGGAAGTGAAATGAGAAAACTGAGCTGCCCAAAACGAGAATCTGTATTTATTAAAAGAATTTGATCAGAGCAAAAACTTGAAGTTTTGTTAAGATAAATAACACCCAAAAGCACAAGTATCTGTTTTAATCATCTAAAAAGATGATTCATACTGAAAGCACAGCAGTAAATTATTGACATTGCAATCAGTTGAAATGTTTATCGAGGAACTTTAAGATAATTTCAGCTTTCAGTTTAAATTCACAATTTGTTAAAACTGGTATTGTCTGCATCAAACGTATTATGTTCTTATTTTACTTTCCTAATATCATGTGTATATTATCTCGTCAGATATAATAATAAAGATTTTCACCGCACTGTCTATAAATACACAAAGAGGCTTTTTATAGGTTTCAATTTACATTGTGTCTGATTATATTTTGTGACTTTAATAGACCAAAATTTCACACATTCTTAATTCCCCACAATTTGTTGTTTTTCTAGAACTTAAAGTGGAGTTCAGAGTGAGTTAAAAAATTAAGGAATAAAATAGATATACTAGTGCTACAGCAAATAATTTAGATTATGTTTTAAAATGATAAATATGTTAATGATTTAAGTAGAATACATTTTAAATGTGCAGGTGAAAGTGTGGAACATTATATAAACACCAATAAATTCATTTTAAACTTTCAGACAGGTTAACAGATGAATACAGGACTTCTGTTTCGGCTGGATCATCATTCTGAATAAGAGGAGACAGAAAAAAGGGGGTCTTTTATACAGAGAAACAGAGAGGAGGCAGAAGGAAATGGTTTTGTGCTGAACTTTGTGTTTACTCACAGAAACTCGCTCACATTCAGAGGAAACATCGTCTGCAAAGAGTTTCGTACATTATATTAATCTGTTATATTCCAGAACAGACTGAGCAGTAGAAGAAGAAAACTGACAGAGCTACACTGATTATAAACTTCCAAAAATATAAAATGTAGTGTGTCGCAGATAAATGTATAAAATTATTCTAATCACTTCTAATAATTAGTAGGACACTAATAAGTTGTAAAGATATAAAGATATGTCCAGAATAAGAACTGAAATGGCTGTATAGCATCAAGCCTGAAGACAAAATATAATTAAAATCCAGAATGCATCTTATTGATTAAATCTCAAGGCAGATAAGTCAACCAAAAACTGTTGTAAATAATCACAGCATATTTATTTATCATTGAATAATTTGTTGTTCTCATAACTATTGCATTAAAGTTTAAAAAAACTTTTGGTGGTCAGTGTATAATGTTATATGAGCTCCTTATTACATAAAATAATAAAAAAATAGTAATGTGACAAAAAATTATAACTTTTTAACAGTAGTATAAAATCTTTAAAAGATGTGACCATATTCAGCTTTTTGTCTTGGGGGCACAAAGTGCAGTGTCTGTGGTAGAGTAAGGGCCATTTTGAAAATGTATTTTATAACATTACACCATATTTTGTTACTAAAATACCCAAAATATTAATTCTAAAAGGAAAATGTGATTTTAATAAGTTACATAGACTATGAAAATATGTTGCAGTACAACATACTGAGTGCGGAGGTGGGCTTAGAGTAACCTTCTGGTGGGCCAAATCAAACGCTCTTATTGACCAACTTTGGAACACAGAACACATTTTGGGCAGCCTTGTTCTGTATTCTACTACACTGTAAAAATTGATTTAATGTTTCAACTTACAAAAGTAATCTATATTTTACTCAATATTTTAAGGCAACCAGGTTACTTTCTTAAGGTTAAACAATGAATTATTTTTACAGTGCATATTGAGTCAAAGGATCACTTACACGCCCAGCAGTTTTTTTTTTTTTGGAAAATTTAGGGCCTAAAAAGTGTGAATGTGTTTGATGTAAAGGTGACCAACCTGATTTCTGCCTGAAGCTCACTTCAGCGTATGTAACGCTGTCTCTCTCACACGTAAGGACCTCTTCCTCCATTTTTTTCCTCCTCTCTGATTAAAAACATAGTAGAGATGACCTAATAAAATGACTGTAAGGTTTTACAGAAAAGCGAGAGCATTTCTGAGTAGAAACAACCCTAATTGTGTTGTATTAGTTTTTGACAGAGTTATACTAATTTTATACCTAACAGTACATCATTCTTATTTTGGGGAACCAGAAAAAGCAGAGCCTAAAAGTGACATAAAACTGACCCACCTGATTTCTGCCTGAAGCTCACTTCAGCATAAGTAACGCTGTCTCTCACACATAGAGTAGGGTGCTCCACTTCTGAATTCTCTGATTAGAAAACACAGTGAAGACACAAAGATGATCTAATAAAACTACTGCATTGTCTTGTATAGTTGAATAATTCATTTAATATTTAATATAAAGTTCTTTAAGGAAGCCAGATAGCGAGTTGACAGGGTATTAAGTACTACTATCTAATAATGTGTTGCATCTCAGTGCACTTCAGAACAGCATGAAATCGTCAGGGCATGGATTCTATATCTACATAATTCTGTTGTTCAGTTTCTGGAAACTTTTGCTCCATCCTGAAGATGATCAGTAGGGTTGAGATCAGGGGACTGTGCAGGCCTCTGGAGCTGAAAATCTCCGTCATGTTCTCTGACCCATTCAGTAAAAATATGTGTCTTCTAACATGGTGCATTATCATTCAGGAAATGTTCAGGTGTGGATGAACTGTAGCCATGAAAGGGATTGAATTTGGTCAGCAACAGTGTTCAACTTCTTTCCCACTCAGTGGGCCAGCTATTATTCTCCTAGTTTTTGATCTTTGCTGACAATAACGGCACTAAACATGGTCTTGCGCTGTTGTAGCCCATTCAAGGAGAAGTCATCTATTGTGTTGTGACAATCTGCACACCAGTATTGATTTTGGATGTGCGTGTTGTGGTTTGCTTTTGCTCTGTTTGCTTGCACGTCATTCTCTTTTTATCGTTAAACAGCACAAGCTGTTTTTTGTCCACAAGGTAACCCGTCACAGGTAGCTTTTAGATATTCACGATGTCTTTGCTGAAGCAGCTGTATTTGAAAAACCCAGAACGACGCTGTTTGGGGCGTGCTAGAACCATCTAATTTGAACTATCAAGTCAAATTCAAATTCACTAAGGTCACCGATTTTGTCTATTCCAGTGCTTAATTGAACACAAACTCATACTTGAAACATGCTAGGTTTGCCTGATTTAAATGACATATTCAAGACATCTAATAAACATCTAATAAATATTAGTACCTGATAAACTAGCAACTTGATGTACATACTTGTAAGAGGATGATACAATTATAGGTGTAAATTTTCTTACTCTTAGTCCTTCTTCTCCAGCATACAGCACCAAGCGCCACTACAAGGATGAAGGAGAACCCACTGATGATTACAATTAGGTTTTTCCGAGGGTGGCTGGTTCCTGTCAGAGAATGCAGGGGGGTTACAGAAAGTACATCTATTATTCATTCTTTACATGCAAACTTCACTGAGAATATGTTAATGCATGTCGCTCTGTATACCCTCTGAGTCAGCTTCTAATGTAGTCCAGCGATTGTTTCTTGTAGTCTGTAGCAGAGTTTTTGACTCATCGGAGGTGTGATAGTGAGTAGTCGGAGTTGATGATCTGGCAGTGGTTGTGAAATGCTGGCTAACGTTGAGAGATAATGGAATAAGTGCTTTTAGTTTGGAGCCATCAAATACAGCACACATCCAGTTTCTCTGGCCCGTTGTAACGTTCCTCAGTTGATGTGGGTTTAGAAAGTTCTCTTTGGTGTCCATGTTGATCCAGTGCAATCGTATGAGTGGAAACTTATAGGAAACTTCACATTCTAACTTGACGTCTTCCCCCTCAGTTATCTGCTGAGGGTCAGCGCAAACTGTGGAGCAGACAGACAGATTTCAGTTTTTGTAAGTCAGCACTAAAGTAAGCATCATTTACAGTAGAATAAAAAATACATATTAGGGTACCTCTCACCACGACGAGTTCAAAGTAAGTTCTTTTGTGGAAACGTTGACATTCATATTGCCCCGAGTCGCCCCAGTCTATATTTGCGATGGTTAAAGAAAAGTCATTGTCGTTATTTCTGAAATGGAGCCGTTTTCCAAAGTGAGCAGGGTTCAGTCTGAGGTTAAAAGATTGATTTGAATTGTGGGGTCTCCAGTGCCAGGTGGCTTCTATGGATAAAGAGATCAGATCTTTGCAGAAGAAGAGGAGTGAATCTCCCTCACTGGCTCGGAACAAAACCGATTTATCATTTGATGACCCTGAAACAAACATATAAAGATTTGTTTTTTCTTACTATTATTATTCCTATTATGGTGCAATTATATAAATATATAAGTATTTTATAAGTGGTTACCATATTTCAGATCCAAACTGAATTGATTCATTTCATTGGGGCAGACATACTTTCCCTTATTTTGGTCTTGAAAGTTTTTTATAAATAAATACTCTATCTTGTTTACTTTCACTCTCATTGTGTTGCTGAACTGAGGTCCTTTCCAATGAGCCTGTCCAGTGCTGAAGGGGCAGCTTAAAGAAACATCGTTCCCTGGAGAAATTTCAGAAACATTTTCTGAAGAAAGATACAAACAAATTAATTTAAGTAAATATGATTCTCTTTTTAGTCATACTATCCCAGTAATTGGCAATATTTAAACTTACCCTTGGAGCCTGTAGGTTCACCAATGCAAAAAATCAAACAGACTAAGACCCTCACCGACATTGTAAAAGACAGAGGTATGTGAATCATCTAGCAATTACAAGAACACCAGTCTCATATTTCCTGTTATGAGACGTGTAAAGAGGAGGTTTCCATCCGAGCATGGTCAGACTCACACTAACATCAGACTGAAGGTGCAAACAAACGCAAACCACAGCAAGCCAGGCAGGCATCGGTTCACTGGCAGTCGATGTAACTGTGTATATTAGAACAAAGTGTATTGTGTGTGCATCTGTATGAAAGTATGAAAAAATAAATGTGTATATGTGTATGTGCATATATATATATATATATATATATATACATACATACATGTGTAATGTATATGTGTGTGTGTGTGTAGTGTGTGTGTGTGTGTGTGTGTGTGTATATATATATATATACATATATATATATATATATATATATATGTATATATATATACGCACACACACACACACACACATATGTATGTAAATGTCTATATATATACATATTCCAATTTTTAGGGCTGAAACCAGAGATATGTTGCACAATTTCATGGTAACATTTTCAGTATTTGCAGTATTGTGCAGATGTTCTGGATGCAGAAATGAATGAAAGTTTAGATATCAATGTGACATTTAACAGTAATTTCACTTGTGGTCTCTGTTGTGGTACTTGAAAAGCTTATGTGACATCCCAGGCATGCACTAGAAAGTGCTGCCTTTGTGACACCTGTGATATATTTGAGCCTGACAGTGAAGATTTCCTGTGAAGAAAGGTCAGAGAAAGAGGTGGGAGCATTTGGCAGCATCTGCCATTTCTGGGGCGAGTGAGGTGTTTATCTTTGCAAGATGTTCCAGGACTCAGCTGAGTCACTTTACACAAGTTCAGAATCCCTTTCTCCTCAAACCAGACCAGATTACTTAGCATAAAGGGGCCAGACTTTACACTATCGATTACAAATTTTTCCTATTAAAATGAAATATTTATGTAATGTATTTAGTAATCAGTTTTGAACTTGGCTTGAAGTTGCCTCCAATCCTAATCTCTAAAACTGTTACATTCAGTAATTTTCCATTTCCTTAACACAAAGAGATAAAAGCACTTTCCCACTTTGAGAATGAATCAGAATGATGTGGCTCTGCAGATGATCTGTGAAAGATCTTTAATTAGGCAGGCCGAGAAAATAGTCTCTGACTTGACTCTTCTCTCTGAATCCCAGCTCTTAACGTCAGGTAAAAGATTTAGGGCTTTTCAATAAATTCATTCAAAAAAGCATTCATTTGTATTTCTGGCATTCAGATTTCTTAATGTCAGGAGGTAATAGGTTGTAGCAATGTGGGTTGTACAGTGTTATGGAAATTACCCACTCATATATGCAATGTTGGCCTCCAGATGAAAACTCAGAAAAATGCATTTCCAGAACTGCATGATTGCATTATCAAAGAGAATACAGCTGCAGTTCAACCAATATAAACACTCAGCAGCTCAGAAATTGAACCCAAAAAATGAATGAACTTGCAGCAAAGATGCAGTGTATCTAGTTTAAGCAAACAGGTAGCTTCTGGGGACTTTTTTCTCAGAATATTTCAGGTATACATGTAATATTTCACAGTGTGCTGAAAGTGCCTATATTTTGCTATTGACATTTTGGAGTATGAATAAACAATGGCCATTTAAGGTTATGCCAAAATGTTATTTAAAAATTAAATAAAAACATAGATTTGTTAAGGTTTTTTATTATGGCCCTTTTATTGGTTGAGTTTGACACCCCTTGCTTATAACAATTCTTGGGTTAGCAGATTAGATGAAGCAGAACAATATATCCACTTGTGACACTTCCTGTGTCTTTGTACGTGACCCAGTGAGAACATTTTTAATCAAACGCATGGCTTAGTTTTCTGGTTTATCAGTCTAGAAGTTGATGATGAACTGAGAGTGGTGGCTGAAAGACTGTGAAAGACTGAAAGAGCAGGGAAGCCCACCATACAGATTCCAGTTGTTGCCATGTAGGCATATCTTCTACAAAGTGACTATCAGATGTGCATAAATTACTCGCTAGCTTCATCCCCAAACAAGGCCCCCGTTTACTGTTAACGTGTTGGCTAACATAAACCAGCTCACACATACACCAGCGTGTTTTTGTAACATTAATTTTTAAAAGGGAAAGTAGAACTTTTACATTATGTGTTTGACAAGAGTTTGTTTATGTTTAGCTAACTGGTAGATATGCCCTTTGCTAGCTGGCTGCAGGTGCTGAACCAGCAGTAGCTTGGTATGTTGTGGTACACGGCGTGACTGTCCTGCACCAACAGTTAGTCAAGTCAAGTCAAGAGGCTTTTATTGTCATTCCATCTATGTACAAGTACACAGTGGAGTGAAATCACGTTCCTCCAGGAACAACACGGTGCAGCAAGGAACAAAAAGTACAAAGTGCGAACATGCAGACAGTGTGCAAACAAAAAATTGAGCTAGAAACAATACAATAAATACAATAAATTAAACAGACATTAGACACAGTAAACAGACACGACGGTGCAGCGCCGACACGGCACTCATTTCTGAGCATGAGGTTGTGGAATAAGGTGCAGAGGTATTAAACATGCTGTGATCTGTGAGTTTCAGAGGCGGTGCAATTCCCAAACCAGGCCATGTGCAGCTGCTCAGGATGCTCTCCACAGTGTTACACTCAGCATCCACTTTTTAGATTCGCAAGAAGCAGTACATCTGTATTAACCCTGTTTAAGACTTATGACATGACCTTTATTTAGAAACCCACTAGCTGAGTTCAGCTGATATATAACACAGTACTGTGTTGGCAACCCAGCCAGTTCTGCTTTCCTTTTTAAGAATTAATATTACAAAAATTTGTTGGTATGTGTATGGTTCATGTTATCCAAAATGTTAACAATAGATGGAACATTGCTTGGGGATGTTAACAGTGTCTTTTAGTTAGCTTAATTCTGCAGCCCTCCTCAATAGCATATTAGCAGGTGAGGTAATGACAGAGCAATATTCAATTCAATATTCAAGGTTATTTTTGATTGTTTTAAGTGAGAAGATTTATTAAATGTGTCTTATTTCGTGGTCCTAATTACACACTAAAGAGACAAACGTGGACTTCAGATAAACTTTTGTCACTGTGGCTTTTAAACCCTGTGCGTCACAAGCATTGGGCTTGTGCACAACGTATGTGATTAGCAACAGCCATAATGAATTGATTATGTTAATTTCAGATGCTTTGTAAACACATTTTGCATCGTGTCTTCTCACATACAAACATCTGGCCCTCAGTTTCTCTGCCAGGAAACATTAAGAATGGTTTGATGACTGTGAGATCCAAATGACTGTGAGATCCAAATGACTGTGAGATCCAAGAATTGATTAATTAACAGCACAAGGATGTCCCAGACAAAATCTGTCTGAACCTGACTGTAGCTGACAAAATTCTGTTTGAGGCCGACTGTAGCCCGAAAAACAATTCTGTCTCAACTCGACTGTAGCCTGACAAAATTCTGTCTGAATCAGAGTGTAGCCCCAAAATATTCTTTTTGAACGTGACTGTAACCTGGCAAAATTCTGTCTGAACACAACTGGAGCCGGATAAAAATCTGTCTTTACCCGATTACAGCCCAACAAAGTTCTATTTGAACCAGACTGGGACTGACAAAATTCTGTCTGAACCAGGCTGGAGCGAGGTGTTAATCTAGGTATTGCTTGAAGAGGTGAGTTTTCAGATCATAGTGAAAAGAACTGAGTGACTGTGCAGTGCAGAAATCAGATGGAAAGTTGTTTCACCACTAAGGGGCACTGAAGGACACTAAAGCAGAAACTGAGCCCAGAATTCAAAGACTTAATCTAGTATGAAGGTGTGTAATGAAGGACCAAGATGCAGAGGTTGCGAGCCCCTTGAAGCTTGGAATGGAAGAACAAGATCTGTATATCTGGTTCTTCCTTCGACTCATTCATACTTCATTCACATAAGAGTGAGAATATTTAGACAAAGTTCAGGTATCTTTGTTTTTTTTGGTCCCAACTAAAAAAGTGCTTTGCATGTTTGCTCTTGGTCTCTTTTGTTCTTTCTCGTTTAGTAGTCCAATCAGGTCCTTGGGCCCTGAAACAGGATTTTCACTTTTAATAACAAACAGTGTAATTTGCACTGCAGTGGATGCCATATGAGTGCAAAACACACACACACACCTAATATACACATACATACTTTGTTGATCTGTTTACTCTGTGCAGATAACTATTCTAAAATATTTTTTTTTCTTGCAGCCTTTCCTCAGACCAGGGTAAGACCAAGCCAGTTATCCGGTAACATTGATAGAAATATTAAGTAATGGGGTTAGCTGTTAGGCTAGTTAAGCGCTGCTGCACACAGAGAGATGATGCAGCATGTCTTCATTCACAGAGCCGCTCTGTTTTATCTTGCAGTGACAGAACATTACAGTTCCTGCCCCAGCCCATTCGCCTCCTGTCCCAGATCTTGTCCCACACTGTCCTACTCCACCCCCCTCATTACCCACCTCCTGTTCTACTCCAACCCCCTCCTTACCCTCAGACCAACAGTCCACGTTTGTTCACACCATGCATGAAAATGTCAAGATGAATAACATTCAGTTCAATAAAAATTACGAATCTTTGGGTTGGTAGGATGGTCCTCCATGCCCCCCATCACTCAGTGCGATGCTAGCCAATACGGGTACATGCTAGCCTTCACTACCCGTTTGAAGCATCGTGTGATAGTAGGAAACTTAGCTAACAAGTGGAATTGGCAGTAACTAAATTGGAGAGAACTGTAGAAGCCTTGGCTCAAACCACTGAAGCTGAATAAATGAGACTACAGACTTCACTGAACAGTAACATCTTCCATATTTCAGAGGCAAACATGATCACTGTAATCATGACTAATGTAAAAGTAGAAAAAAACAGTCAAAAAATGAATGCGATAAAGAAAAACTTCAGTTAGGATAATAAATAGGATATTATTTGAGGTGTTTTGTTAAGATTAAGAGAACAAACACAATTTTTG